CGTTTAAAAGATAAAAGACATGATCGTATAAACCGACATATTTCGTTTCGGTTATGATTAATTCAAATGTGCTTTGATTTCGGAGTTGCAGTGATAGAGCCTTCGTGTCATCTCACTCCACAATAATTCACGTTTTGAGAGTTGAGTCACTCACTCTTTAATTTATATTTAGGCATTGTGATTACTTGAATATACAGTCATACTACATTAAAAATCAGATACGTTATAACTTATCACGCTAAAAACTTGTCACTCATGAATCATAACGTCTGTCTGCTGAGCCCTCGTGATAAGTGCGGCTGTCGACGTTTACATCAGCACCAGCGCCTCTGCAGTGTGTACGTGTGTGTGTGTGTGTGTGTGTGTGTAGTAACGTTGTGATGACTGATTGGATGCAGTATACATACTTGGGCTTGTTTTGTTAAACAATTAGCCTATGCAATTTATCCTGTTACAGATCCAGTGTTCCGCCCGTGGTACACTACATACTTTAAGGGTTAACTTCGTGAAGAAAAAAAAAGGTAAACGTGTCATATATCTTTGGAAAGCTGAGATTCTTGTGATTCGAATGATACAAACCATTTTAAGATACAATCAACACAGCAGGTACAATCAGTGTCTTTGTCAGACCAGCAACAACCAAATAAACAATAACAAAACTGAAGGAACTCACCTATGAAGCCTCTTGTTAGTCCACTAGTTCATTACATTCCAACAAAAATGGTGTAGTTACACTGTAAAGGGTCCAGACTATCCAATTCAGTGAAATATTTAGTCCATAACACATTTATATGTTGATAAACATCCACGGAGTGTAGGAGTATCATTTCAGATTAGCCAACGGAGCGCTTAAAGCTTCGGTGCATTCTGCAGTACAGCTCGTGTTTGCATGTAAACAAAACCGGACCATTGAAGTTAAAATGGCCGCTGAACTCTGCCCTTTTGATTGACACCTTATTTGAACCAATAGCTGCATCTTTGAGGTGACAACAAGCAGCGATAGCCAACTAGCACCCAGGATGACGGATGAGGCCGCCTCTCTTTGATCGACAGTAGACCGATCCAATTGCATCAGAGTGTGCAAATGACCGTCGTTTCTGATGGCCAATGAACTTCTGACCAGAATAATATGTCATTTGAGTGGGCGGCTTTGATATATCAGCGCAGAAGTCCGTGCGCAAAGGATTACAGCGACTGGTGCGTCTGTGCGTAATCTGAGCGCTCCATGAGAGATACCGGGGAAGAGGTGGTTAGAGGTCAAAAACTATCAAAGAGAATGCGAAAAACAACCCGTTTGTTCTAAGTAGTTGTTAAGCAATGTATAACAATAAAATTGGCCGGACAATAGAATATTTTTTTGCCGGGGCGAGCGATATTTCATCCATTGAAGCAGATGAGCAGATATGGGTTTGTTTGAATGGAGGAGACGCCGCTCTCAACAAGTAAGTGCTTTATTATATTATATAATTATATTTATATATATTTTACATATAATTATGTATATTATACATTTTACTGTATATATTGAGGTATGTGTTTGTGGTGTTCTTGCTAACTTATGTTTGTGT